TGGAGTCCCCATCCCTGGAGGTGTTTAAAAGACGTGTAGATGTGGTGCTTAGGGACATGGTTTAGTGGTGGGGTTGGCCGTGCTAGGTTAACAGTTGGACTCAATGATCTTAAAGGTCTTTTCCATCCTAAATGATTCTATGATTCTGACACTTTAGTAACTATTTAGGATTTTTTATTTTCTTTCTTTTTTTATTTAAAGGAATGTATTACTGAGTTTTGCCACCTGCAGGGGAGAGAACCAACACCAACACTTTCCTCAGCATGATGCTGGCAATTTCTCTGTACATTTCCCACATGACTGGACCAAGAGAGCTTTATCCTGACCTGTGATTACAGTTTTGACATTCCAATTTCTGGCACCATTGGTAAGCTTTCATTCACATCAAAGCAACTTTGCTTTCCTGTGTTGGTGGCAGCTGAAGACTGCCCTGGTGAGTAACATTACAACGTTTGAATGTGTGTTGCTTCCTTAGAAGCCAGGCGATCAGTAATGCCAGTTTTCAGATTACCTCCTCCTATTTCTTAAACCGCTAATGAGCGGGTTTTGTTTGCATATTGTAAATAAAATGCACAGTCTCCCAGTCATGAAAACACGAGTGTGGACAATGGCACTGAGCTGTTGCATGCGAGCAGAACATACATGTGAAGCTTCACCTTCGCCATTGCTAGCTAAGCGGTGCAGTGTTCTGACGATACAGTAGTGTGGCAGACTCCAGGATGTCAAGGAGAGTCAATCCATGAAACTACTTCGAGCGCCATGTCAACACATCTTAATTTTGCTCTTTTAAGTGTCCTTTGCTGACAGCTACCAAGTAAATAAAGTGGAGTATTTCTGCCAGCACCATAAGTAATACTGTGGAGACACCGAGGGTGCGCTCCTTCATTATCACGTACATTTCTGAAGCGTGTAGGAACCTAATTAGCTCAGAGATTTCGAACTCCAGGGACTGTGACATGATCAAATAAGCAGTGCAGTTCCAAAAGCCCAGTCTCCCCAAAGTTATAAAAGTGTTCTAGAACAGCCATTCAGCCCCCTCCAACATTACCTGCTAGAGTCCATGGCTTTATGATAAAATGCTTACAAAAAAATCAAAGTATAAAATCTGTTACTTTTTCAAAAAGAGGCAAGATCTGCAAATAATTATTTTATATGAATATAAAATAATACAGCACAAGGCTCTAACAACTGCTGTTGATTATTTTTCAGGTTTCAATTTTTTGTTTTTGATGGAATAGGCCAGTGACCCCAGGAGCATTACTCTATAATCAGACTTACGTCTCTAGGTTGTCACCCTCCAATACTGTTTGCACAGGCAGGTAGCCAAGTCGGGGATGCTTTGCAAAATACTTCTTTGACCGGAATTTATTCTTCAGCACCTTCGTGAAGTCCCGTACATCTTCCCCAGATGTTGTCTTAAAAAGGTAAAAGACATTAAATTGAGCATTGCTAAACAGCTTTGAGATAATGGTGCTGCTCCTGTCCTGAAAAAGGATGCAAGGAAGAACTTCAAAATGTTACTGATGTTAAAATTGCCTTTTTAGTGTCCTGAAATATGGAACGATAGCAACGGCAGTGCATCTACAAATTCTCTTCTACTGGAAAAAACATTAAGGCTTCAAATTCCCAGCAATAAACACACTAGATTTACCAGTTACTTTATAAATTAGAGAAAAACTGAAACTGGTTCAAGTCCTAAGCTAAACTTTTATAAGCAGTCTTACAAAACACAAAACTTTAATTTTTCAGAAAGTAAAAAAAGGCAAATCAGTTTGCCAGATCCAAGGGGATACTCTTAGTCATTGAAAGCAATCTTGACAGTATGCTCATACACATGAAGCTTGTGCCTCTCCCCACAGACAGAAAAACCTTGTAATGGCTCTCCTGAAAAAAACTAGCCAACAGTAATGGCTTTGTTTAAAAAACAAAGCACTAACACAGCCCTCTATATTCACAAAGTCCCACAAAATACTCGCTGCCTCCCATTCTATACCTCCACTGGGAAGCTTTACCACGAGATGGGAGCAGTATGTGCTAAACCGCTCTCTGCTGCAACGGCCAAGTTCTTCATGAGCAGTTTCTCAAGTTACCAGATCTCTTCCTACAGGATTCTGCCACTCTCTCTGTCATTCCAGAGTCAAAAAACCCCAGAGGTGAAGTGACGGCCCTTGTACGGGCACTGTTCAAAGGCACGGGCAGAAGCAGGCCTGATAAGAACAATTAGTGCCTGAAGTAATAAACTCACAGACTGACTCAGTCGCCTCCTTACTACCGCAGGGCAAGCCTAGCACAAAAATTAGCCACAAGATTCTTCAGCTCTAAATTTACAAGTTACAATCAGCAACTCCCATTCCTCCCAGCAGCTTTTTCACTGGTCCCCACTGATGCAGCCCCTTCCAAACCTGACAAGTGCTTAGCCCCATCCCTCACCCCACGTGAAATTAACTGTGTTCTTTAGAACAGAATTAAATTTGATGCAAGTGCTTTTAAAAATCAATTTAACTGAAAATAATCACAGGAATAATGGCAGCACTGCTTTGGTAATACTATTCAGTTAACTTCAGCTACAAAAGCAGGGATACAAGCAAAACACGCAGGCATAAAATACAAGGTGAAAATGGCAATAAAGAGATCTGCAGGAAGAAACAATAGTATACAGTATGCCTTTAAAGTCTATGTGCTTACAGACTATACTGAGTACTCAAACAGAACGGTCCCCATCACATGTAGCAGTTACTATTAAGCATTTCTTCTTGCAACTGCAGTAAAGAAAAAGTGGCCATTCACCTCCTGCGTTAGCTGAAGATTTGCAACAGCCCAAGCTCTGTAGACAACTACGAGTTGTATTTCTGTACCCTTTGCTTTGGGAGAGAAGCCTGTTAACATAAAAGGATGGCAAAGTGGACGAATATCCACAGGGAAAACAGTGAAAGACTTTCCAGTTTTGTAAATCTTTTCCATTGCATACTGCAAAGAAGCCTAGAAGCAGATCAGGCAAACTCTGCTCTGATTTTATTCTCTGGTGTCAAAACATAAAAATACTTCCCTGTTCACCTATGCACTTTAATGTATGTAAAATATATGCAGTTGCAAACTCTGTAACGCAGATCAGACGAGCAATAAAAATTGCAGATAATCAAACTGATGTTGCTAAGAGTTTCTCACATGTGGCTTTACCAAGTAACAAAAAACTGAGCAAATTTGGGATTAAGAGGTGTTTGAACCCCTAAAATTTTAATGCAGGTAAATTCAGGGAGGGCTCACAGTCACTGCATCATCCAAACAAGGAACGTGCAGCAGCCCAACGGGCTGCTGGTTCTCACACCGCCGTAACCGCAGCAGATGGAACGCTGTCCCAAAGCCAAGGAATGGAAGTTTCAGTACCTACACACTGCAGAAATAAACGTCTACCAAGCTGCCAAACTTTTCCTCTGGTATATTCTTTATTTGGTACAACAGCCTGACACAGTTCCTTGGACAGACTAACATGACTGTGTACTGACTGAGGAGAATAAATACGAACCAGTGAAATGTGAGCAGATTTGGAAGAAAAATACATCTCAAACATGTTTGGATTGTTTGCGTTATGCTGGCTAAGGAGGCAAGTAAACAATCAGTATCACCATATTTTTAATGATGTCTAATAAAGGAAAGAAAACACTGTAGACCTCCAGATCCTGAGGGTTTCAACAGTGATGTGACTATAGGCAAAACTGGGCCTATGCCACACCACAAACCCAGTATAAAACAAAACCAGAAAATGACCTCTGAAAAGAGGAGGCAGAAAGAAAAAACCAGTGTCAGAATATAACAAGCATTAGAACTGGCTGAAAAACAACAAACCTGCTTCAAAAAATTTCATATAGCCTGGCGTGCCAATTTATCAATCTAATCCTAACATTAGGTTATAGAATTAATGAAAATAAATTAACCTAACTGATGGTTTCTTCTGATCATAATGAAGTGAAAACACTACTTAATAGAATTCGAATTCTGTTACAGGAGACACATTGGATGAAAAAGAGAGGGAAAACACAGGTAATAAGCCCAAATACTAGAGCAAAAGACAGTCAAATAACTCAATGATTTTTTGCTAACAAAAGAACCCACAGAACCTTGTAACACTATTGGAAAACAGCTCTATTTCATCAGCTCTAGTTACATTCTGGTCTGAAGTTGTTTTTCTGAACATACATACCTTTCACCACTGTTGTTTAAACTACATTCCAATTATCCTATTAATTTATTTGTGACTGAGTTAAAACTCTTAAGAATGAAAACAACTATCAGATAAAAATAAGTGAACACGGTATTTGTACAAAGGAATTTACCCACTCCTCCATTTAAGAAGGTCTCTTAGAAACTTCTGTTTGAAATTTCATTAGGAAAATATTGTGTTGTAAAACTAATTTTTGTCAGCTATTGCAGGCAAACCTCTCACACCATTTTTGGTTAGAAACTGTCAATTCTGTTTATTTTTTTCTCCAGCTACACACCAATTTTTAAATATCCCTGTAAACAATAATTACTCAGCGGAATGAAACACGACACATTTCCAACCATGTTTTCATGAAGCAAGCAAAATATTGGACCTGAAAGCAAAGATCCCACACCTTTAAAAACACGGATACTAAAGATACTAAATATTCTTTAGTATGGTATAGCAATAGTAAAGTGAGTCCCTTTCCTCTGACATGTTTGCGCCCTTGTAGTGTGTGTGTTTGTGCACGTGCAAGTATACAAGTACTGCAATTATATTTAATATTCCAGCTCTGTTTTTTACAAAACAAAAGTGAAGCTCAAGTTCTCTCAGAGGTGGATACTTCTACCCATTTCTACAGAATCCAAAAACCACCCACATAAAATCATCAGCACCAGCAAAGTCCCTGATGACTTCCGAAGAGAAAGGTAGGCAGACAGGCCCTACTAAACATACAAAAAAGAAATCCTGGCAGAACACCTCGGTGACAAAAGTCTATGAAAAAAATTCAGACCTCAAATAATGCAAAAACAATCCCTTAGGAACAGTCAGTAAATTGGTACTCACGGGTATACAATACTCCACCATTGGGTAATGCAATTTATGCCCCTTTGCTGTACGGCCAGAAAAGAAACAGCTCTGACAGACGTCGTAGTTGAAATGTTTTAAGCTCCGGTACCTATGGGGACATTAAACAGAGCGATTAGAGCTTCCTAAGTTCAGTTCTAATATTTACTTGTTATTACGCCTCACGAGGCAAATTATTCTCTGAGCTGCTGCCGTCTGCTTTTCAGCAGCGGCGACGCGAGGACACGATGAGTTTGTGGGGATTAGCTTAGGATGGCCCTTGAAGCGGGTGGGTGTGCGTGGGCAGGAGGTGGCACGGCCAAGGCTCCTCAGCTCCATGGCCCCGGGGCACTGGTGCCGCTGCAGCAGCTGCACGAGGCACAGGACACCCGCAGCCCCCTCTGTCCACTTCACACAACCGGCCGACACTACACAGCTCACCTCGTTGCCTATGTAAAAGAAATTCCGGCCTCCTATAGCCACATAGAGAGCCAACGTCCATCATCCGGTGCTTTGAAGCAGAAAACCTTACTGACGTCAGCTTCATTGATGGAGGACAAAGCGTTTGCAATTTTAAAGTTCAAACTGACTTAAAACTATATTGCTTTAGTTCCTCTTTTCTTCTCTCTGGTGTTCAGATGGTATCACAGAAAAACATTTACAAACCAGACTGGTTTACTTTTATATGTTTTTACATTTACCAGTTAGCTCAAATGTTTGTACATCATTTTGATGCTCAAAAATTCTAAACACGTTTCAGAAAATAAAACCTGAGAATTCATGAATTATAAAAAATAATATGAAATTAAGTTTAAAAATTACATTGATTTATTTAATTATTTTTTTTTTAAGAGCATGTGCAGGTATAAACAAGGTAACGGACTTACATAGTATCTCCTGTAATGTAGCCACCAGGATCACAATTCCATTTTATTTTTTTTATTGTTTGGGTTTTTTTTAAACTGAAGCTGACTAAAGCAACAAGTCAATTCCAGATTCTGCCCACTGTTTTTTACAGTATGGTTGTTCTGACTGGATGAAGTTGTATCATTTGTATGAAACTAAAATGAGCTAACTGAACCAAATTGAATAGCTACTGAATAGTTAAAGTTTAAATTAAATTGCTTCCTGAGAGCAGTTTTCAGTACCAATCCACATGTTTCCCCTGCTGAGTTTTATGTTTTGTTTTGCAAGAGAATATGTGTCTATAAATGTAAAGGTTCACTTTCAAGGATGCTGATGCAACTGTTTATAATCTTTACTCAGAGCCTGTGTATTAAATGGTCACATCTACCTTCTGCTTAGCTGCTAGATGCTTTTGTTGTTGCAGATCTCTAATTTCATTGTAGAAATTATTTAAAATGAGCCATTCTGTTGTCTTCCTTTCTCTTTATTTCTATCTCTATGCCCTCCTTCTCCACACAAAGTATTTCAGTACAGACAAGAGTCATCAGCCCCAACTTAGGCATCTAAAAGAGATGTGAGCTGGAGCTTTGTCACTCTATGCTCCCTCAAGCATTAATTAAGAAAAACAGGAAGATCTAGAGGAATTTCATCTCCTCTTAAAACAAGCAACAGAGTTTGATCAGATTAATTACTTTTTGAAGTACCTGCATATCTATAGTAAAAGAGGAGAGTTGCTAATTTAATCTTGTAAAGCTGACTAAAGGCAGTGCGCCTAAAGCTAGGTGAGCTGAATCTGACCTCGGGATTCATATTACTGTCGTCTTTTAAAACAACAGAAAGAAGGAGAAACAGAAAGCATGGGAAACAAAAATTACTCATCTGCCTAGGTACCTGAAGAAAAGTCTTAGAATCACTTATAAGACAGACAGCTTTATATCGTTCCTAAATAGTACACTCGACTTCATCACCGCAGCAGAGGAAAAAAGCCAGTTATGTTTAGCTCTAGTCCCTACTTTTATTTTTCTTTTTTGCGTCATTTTGTACCCTGGAGCAATCAATTCACAAATGCATGTTAATTGTAACAGTACTTGCTATGGGTATCAACTATCTCATGCCCCATGATGATAATTCATAGTAGAATCATACAATTTAGGAGGATAACATGGAGAATATCCCTGGTGTCATTTTTTCTTGTAGAATTCACAGCTTCCTTTGAACAGAGAGAAGTTAGATTCTGTTCAGTGCTTTAGACGGGAACTGTGCAAGTCTCATCACAGTAACCTATCAATGTTCGTGATGAGCAAGGAAAGACTGCTGTTGAAGGGGTGTTTAATCATAAGTTAGTTTCCCAAGCCTTCTGCAGGAGAGCAGCCAGCCCATATTTTTTCTTACTCATCAGCTCGTTTTGGTCTTGTGCTTACAGAACACATGGGGTGCATTCATACTTGGGGTGCACTTATACTTTATTTGCTACCTATTGTGCCAAACCCGCAGATGACAGCCTGCCCTGCACACCTGGCAGTGATGGGATCATCAGGTCTCTAACCACGGTACTGCGGGAGCCAGAAATGCACTGGCTCAGGCCTGACTGTGGCCTCATCATGGGTGGCAGGTCCCATCTTAAAGCAGGAAAGCGGTGGAAACACAAACAAATAATTGTACTTGTGGGAAGACTTGAAAGTGTGGATATTTTCAGAGAAGCCTTGCACCCAACTCCCCTCCTCTTACCTAAAGCCAACAATTGGACACTCTTTACAGATGTTGCACTTGGCCTGATGTTTTGCCGTTTCTGCAGCTGCCACGCGGTGTAGAACTGGTAGCCATACCATAGACTGTGGCTCTAAGCGCATCCAATCTATAAATTGCTTTACAGTTATTTCTGGCTTATTGTGGTTCTGTGGAGAGAAAAAACAACCCATATCCAATTTAAAAAAACCCAAACCAAAAAACAAACCAACACACACAAGCAGATTTTCCTTAGAATTAATAAAAAAAAAAAACAACCTGTGTCAATCTTTTCCATGCCAGGTTAATGTAAAACCAGTTACAGGATACAAGAAATAACCTCGATTAAAATGCAAATAAAGAAAACAAGTTAGTCAGTAAGAATACAGAAGACTAAACAGCTGTGGTAGAGTAGACAGATAGCAACAAAGATGGAGTACATAGTAGAGGAGCAATGGAGTTCATAGCAAAGCCGCCTTTGAACTGAAATGACTTGAGAAAGGCGGCAGCATGAAAGGGATGCATGTTCTGCAGTTCAGGCACACTAAGGACATGGTTGTCTTTCGAGTTAAAGTTGATGTCAGATCGCTAGAAGTCAGTAGCGCTTGCGTGTGTCTACTAATTGCCATGAGACTCATGCAATGTTTTTAATTGTATTTTGAGCCCATGGTATTCTTTCAAGTTAGCACATTAAACAAACACAGAAATAAACAAACAGGTAACTAAATAAATAATGAGAGAGAATTAAATCTGCCACTTATGGGCAATCACTGCAAGAATGCAGCAGAGCTGAAGTATTATAGCATGATTGTTTTAAGAAGCAAGCAAACATGCTTCCACGTTCTCTTTCAGTTGTAACCACCAGAGGAGCCTAGCTGTAAAGGTATTATATTCATCAACTTTGTCAGCAATAAGAACAGAGGTTGTCTCGCTCAGCTCACTGGAAGGAACAGAACACAACTTAAAATGAAAGTTATTTTTTAATGGTAACGCATGACGAGAAGCAACACTAGGCTTCTTAACTTTTCATAGTCCAAGTCGAGTTTTGCCAGTAAGAAGGAGCAGCATGAAAAAGGAAGAATAACGTGCTTTCCCCACCAGCAAAATACTTGTTTTCACTAGGCTGAGATAACTGTCGTGCAGCTGCACACTTTCTCTATGCTGTCGTATCAACCAGAGACTGAACTTGAGTTATTCATGTGAGGAATGCAAGCTCATCATCAGTACAGGCTATTTAAACACTACTTTGCTAGTACTGATAACGGAACAGCATGGGAGATGGGGCAGATCCTTGAGGGACACAAAGATCGTTCCTCTGTGACAGAAAAAGTCTGCCACTAACAAATGAATAATGTATTTCAGTATGTCTTGAACCACTCAAGGCCACTGATAGATATGTCAAGTATCATCCCTTATTGTCTGAAGCAGCAATGTTAAAACCTCAGGGGAAATTTTACATGGTTAATTGGTCAAACCAACTTCCATAAGTAGCTACCAAATTATTCATGATCTGGACAAACACTCTTCCATTTCCAATCATCTCAGAGTCCAGAAATGAACCTAATTGTTCTGAAAAAGCTAGCACACCTGAATTTTTCAAAGCACTGGATGAAAATGTAGAAATGTCTACGAAAGAATGGCAGAAGAAAAATGCTTTAAAAGTTCACTATAATATTTAATGTTTGATTCAATAAAACCAGAAATATTAAAGTCACTAGAGTTTTATATATGCCATAGTGAATTTTTAATCCATATACAATTTCTGACAATGCTCAAAGCAGCTACTTTCAAAGAAATAATAGACTGAAGCAGTATAGTTATCACTAGCAAACAGTCGGAGCCTTAGGCATCCTTGACAAAGTCTGAGTTAGGTTATGTTCCATTAGGACATCCTCTTTTTAATTCTCATCTTCTTTACAGACAGATGCTCCTTGCAGCTTCATTAACCCCCTGCATGTAGCGTGGAGCTGAACAGCAGGCTTTAAGACAGCTTTATTCCATGTTCTGATCCGCTGCATAAAGGCTCACGATATATAAATGACTATGCTTAAAGTTTCGTGCAGCTGCAAGCTCTTTTGTCAGTAAAATAATGCTAAATAATTTCCTGATGCAGAAGGTCAAAAATTACTATCAACATCATTCTCTTGTTCTGTTGAGATTGTGTCTTGTTCCAGCAGGGAAAAGCACGCTGTTCTCACAGTCTCAGGTTGCTTTGAACGATGCAAAGCAGGATAATTGGCTGCTGCAAAATTTTTTAACAGCTTTTAGAGCAGCCAATATTGTCAAAACCACAAAGATTTATATATTCTTTTTGCAAAACGTAATTTGTTTGATCCTCTCCTAAACAATAAACCATCTTTTACAGCTGCATTTTCACAGTAACTTCCCACATTTAGTTGCAGGGGCATATTCATTTCTGTTCAAAAACTCATGGATGTTTTTAAACGCCTCGCTTCTTTTTACACCATGTAAAAGTGAATCTTAAGACTTCAGAGAGAGTTTTTTTTTCACATGAAGGTCTTTGTTCTCTTACCTGTTGGAAGCAGCTGCGCACGCTGGGTTCAATGTTGCTGCCACCGAAGGCTGCCACTTCCCCAAGCTGCCGCGGGATCTGGATCGCGTCGTGAAGCAGCAGGCCCAGCTGCCTCTGGTCGCACATTTCTGTGGGGCCTGACACCTCCTTGAAGAGATCTGCAACACCGACAAGAGGCACCGGCTCATTTCATTTCCGTGTACACCTCTTTTTATTCAGTAATGCTGCCGCTCGAGCTTTACAACGTCTGTAATCCAGTCATGGTTACAGATGGCCACTGTCCCATTTACAATAGTTTACCCTCATCTAATCTTGATTACTTTGACCACAATTTCTCGATCCATAACTATACAAATGAGAAAAGTAAGGCCAAATGAATGAAAGTACATGGCTTCTTAGGGCATCTCATGATGAAACTGTACATGGCAGCTCCTGTTTTACCTAGGAGCAGCTTTTTGTTCTAATCCATCATTACCACATTGCTCCCCTAATATTTACTGATTTATATGTTATCACTAGGGAAGGATGCTTTCCATAGAGCACAGGAGCTCTCGATCCCCAGGTATAAGAAATCAGGAAAGGAAGGCAAGAGACTGGCATGGCTGAGTCGAGACCTGGTTGGAGACAGAAGCACGTTTGCTCTGAACTGAGACTACAAATTACCACGACTCACAGCTGGCCGTCTGAAATAGCTTAAAGCAAGAGCAGCAGCCAGCAAGACAACTCGGGCTTAACATTAATCACATTTGCTTCCCAGATAACCATGTCTGCTTCCATATCCTTTCCCTTTACTGATTCCCTTTTCCTAAGGCAGGTGTCAAGCCCTGCAGTATAAGTGGATGTTCTAGGACGACTGTAACAACAGAAAAAAATTGATCAAGCAAATTGTTCCAGATACAGACAGTGGGAAGAAAGATACTGCTTGTACCTACTTGAGAGTCACAGTAAAGCACTGAATTAATAGGTCTGTCTGCGGTACAGATAATATTTCTTAAGTGCTTTCTTAACACATTTCTTTGTGAATTGTTTTTTAATTGTTAAAACTTTCAGCTAAAATTTTTAACATGTTTCTGCCAACAATCCTTGCTTTATGAACTTTGTAGCTGTGTACATTAATATTTACTCACAAGATGAATCTCTCCTGAAAATACCTTAAACACTGAGTTAATCTCAGAAATATTTTTAAATTCTGTGGTTGGTACAAATTACAGAAGAAATGGAAGTGAATTCTTTGTGTTCATTCCAGCTGGGTTTTACATTCTCCTTTTGCACTCAGTGGCTGACATTTTGCTCAATGTTAATAACCAAGGTTATAAGACTACCTACAAACGCTTCTAAGGAAAGCAGCAATTGTTGCGGAGGTCCAATGGTACATGGCGAACACAGCCTCTATACATTTTACATGTGTTTCCGAAATGTGTCAAGGAACAAGGAGCAATTTTAAGATGATGTGCATAATATATAACCATCCATCACCTAGGATGCTCTTGTATAGCGCTTAATCTCTTGTTCTCTATTTATCAGGGGGTTTTACCACAAAGTTAATTTTTTTCTGCTCTTGCAATTACTTTTATGAAATATTTTTACACTACTCAGTATTTGTCAAGCTTGTGAGATTACTTAAATCATCATAATTTAAACTTTCATTGCATGATTCTGGCAGAAAGCACACATACTGGAAAACTATTTTCAGAGTTCAGATCATCTTTGTCATAGACCACAAAATACAATTGCTGGATTTTGATGTATTGCCTTGCTTTATCAGACATACCAATCTGTTGCAATCAACACTGACTTGCTTGATTTTCCCTAAACAAAACATACACACGCACAAAAGAGAACAGAATCAGTCAGATAAAATACTTGTCTAGCTTCCACACGGCTACATTCTCCTTTGCTTTTGGGGAGTGCAACACTGTGCGTTATAACGATGCATAATTGACATCAATACTCTCCAGTCAGGATATAAATCCTGCTTTCTCCATTGTCACTGATGATAATGAAAACAACATTTCTGTTTTACTTAGAAGAAAATTGTCTTGCTACAGGATTGGAAATGTTTTACTACAAATTTTGCTACAATGTGTGTTGTTATTCTACATGGCTTAATTACACAAAGTAAACATTTTATAAAATACATTCTTCCTTACATCTGTACTTCTCTTCCAGAAGGCCCGTAGAAAGAGACATCAAGCCAATTTTCAGGGACTGCACTCGAATTTTTCCAGTTCGGCCACTGAAATTATAAAGATAAGATGATTTAATACAGTTTAATTTTATTTAATTCCAACTCAAGCCTATTCAAAAATGCAAAGGTATTGGTGAGTTCTGTTTCAAATACACTTCAAATCTCAAAACAAATTAACACTACGAATCACATTAAGAATGCTTCCCTTACAAAAGCTCAGCTCACCTTCTAAGTGGTTTACATGTCAAAACAATTCGATTACTCCAAAAGGGAAGTCATTTAACTCTGTAAAGCTCTCAATGTGATTTAATAATGCGATATACACAGAAAAAAAAATACACAAGCACACAGCAGGAAAGCCTATTACTCAGTGTGGAACACAAGGACTGCAAAATAAAACCAAGTTTTCATTTGACAGTAATCCATTCATTTTTTTAATTTCATTTTTTTCCTTTTATGTTTAAAAAATGTGTACCAGGACATAAACAGCCAACCACACACAGTAATTAAATGACGTAGAGCTGCTGTTCTTTTTAAGCAATGTGACTTCAGGCTTATCTTGTGAGAAAAATAATGAATGCCCAAAAACCCAGAAAACACACGTCAAACCTTAAGCAACTTGAGAATGGGTAAGTGGGTATCAAAGCAAGTGATTTTAAACCTGCAAGACAACACTGTTGAAAAAAAATACTAAAGCAATAAACCCAGGGTACATGGAAAAGGACAATTTTAAAGTTCAAAAGATCAGTGCAGAAACTTATGCTTAAAAGATCTGATGATTTCTTCTTTCAAAGACTGGAAAACATGATGCAATTTGTCCAGATGAGACATAGCAAAAAGAAAAAAAGAGAATAGTAGTCAAACTGTATATATTATACACAAATCCCTGCATTTAAGGTTAACTGGGTCCTTCACCAGCAAATAAGATAATACTAAAATTAATATCACCCAAACATTACTTTGGTCCCTTCTGTCATGCAGAAGTGATGTATCCTTTAATTACTTCTGGAGTGGTTATTAGATATCTCTTTCTGTCCTATCCATTCAACATATGGTCTGCTGTCTGATTTATTTCACAAACGTTGTGCTGAATACAAAATTATTAATTTACTCCTGGGGTCTCCGTATATTAGCACCTTACAAGTAATAGTGCATTTGTCTTCACAACCATCACCTCATCTAGTGAGACTAGACAGCATTATCTTCTTCATTCCACAAGCTGGTACAGAGAAATTATTGCCAAATTAATCAAAAACATCCATTACTTTTACTGCCTCGTTTGAAAATCAGGACCCAATTTTCCAGAATGTTATAAAAGTGCCACCTATTTTACACACTCAAGCTTAGCTTCGAATTACCTCTTTCAATCACAGACACTACATCATTCTGGCATACCTTAACGTGTAAATGGTTCGTTTTGCAACCTTGGTAAAGTTCTTTCCCCATTCTTTCCTGTGTAGGGTTGTCTGTGTTTTAACTTTGTATTCAACAGAAAAACAAAGCTGAACATTCATTTGGGTTTGGTTTAACTCAGGACTGACTAGAGCATTTACTTATTAAAGGCAGAGAAACTTTGCAGCTAAAAGGTCAGGGCACATATGCGGAAGCTTCAGACTTCTCCAGATTTCAGCAGACTGCTGTAGGGACTGTGAAAAACTTCCTTCACACAAAAAGCATTTTCTCAACAAATTACAAAATGAATTACAAAGCCTGCAATATTACATTTTTCTAAAGAGCAGCCTATCTCCCCCTAGTTATTTTCTTGGAAACAAATACAGTAAAAAACCCCAAAACAACATAAATCAAAACCCCACCACACCAAAATCAAACAAAACCTCCCCCCCAAAACCTATAGACTTTGTAGCATTGTCGCTTCCAATTCAACGGTTGAAGTCTGCCCAGCTTAGAGAGTCACAAAACCACTGAGGGTGGGAGGGACCTCTGGAGATCGTCCAAGACCAATGCCCCTGCTCAGTCAGATAGAGCAGGTTTGCCTGGATCATATCCAGTCAGGTTTTGAATATCTTCAAGGATGGAGACTGCACAGCTGCTCTGGGCAACCTGTGCCACTGTTTGATCACCCTCACATTAACAAATAATATTTTTCTTGTATGTTTATGCAGAATTCCCTGTGTTTATGCCTACCGCCTCTTGTCCTGTCACTAGGCACCACCAAAAGAGCCTTGCTCCATCTTCTCTACTGCTCCCATCAGGTATTTATACACATTGATAAGATCCCCCTGAAACGTCTCTTCTCCGGGTTGAAAAGTCCCAGCTCTCTGAGCCTCTCCTGACACATCAGATACTCCAAGTTCTTAATCATCTTCATGGTACTTCACTGGACTCACTCCAGTTTGTCCATATCTCTTTTGTCCTGGGGAGCCCAGAACTGGACCCAGCGCTCCAGACGTGTCTCACCAGTGCCAAGCAGAGGGGAAGGATCACCTCCCTCGACTTGTTGGGAAGGCTTTTCCTAATGCAACCCAGGAGACTGTTGGCCTGCTTCCTCACAAGCTATGTTGCTGGCTCACGGTCAACCTGGTATCTAGCAGGACCCCCAGGGCCTTTCCTGCAAATCTGCTTTCCAGCCAGTCATCCTCCAGTCTGTAGTGGTGTATGGGGTTATTCCTCCTTAGGGAGAGGACTCGACATTTCCCTTCACTGAACTTCATGAGATTCCTGTTGTCGCCTTTCTCCAGCCTGTCAAGGTGCCTCTGAATGGCAGCACAACCATCCAATTGTGCTATGTGCACAAACGTCTGAAAATCAGGGCCTTACGGTGGGAAGGTTCAGGAAACTTTATAATGCTTGAATTCATACAAAATTTATGGGTCAAGTATTTAGAATTAAGTGCCAGCACACTATTCAGATTCACTACAGCAATACAAGCATGCTTGTCATTACAAAAATCAATTGATATGAGCACTTTGAGCAGCTCAGATATTTTTTGCTCCGATCCTGATGAAGGGAAGTCTGAACCGTTATACCTCTATTAACTGCTTTAGAACAAAGTTGTCCTTTCTCCATCAATACAAGAGTGAAAGGCAGCATAAAAATGGCACATTATTGACTTCTGACCTATCTTCAAGTGAAAAATGGCAAAAGCATTACAGCTGCTTGTCAGAAGTGCCCGTCTTGTTCACTGAAGTCCATTTGTTCCTCTGGATATATCTGAGCCCTCTTTCCCAAGGCAATACAAAGTCTTAACGATTCATTGCCCTTATAGTACGATGCTGACATTCTTCTCCTTCCCTAAATGAGCTGGAATTTTACTGTTTTAATGGGGAAGGGGAGAGGAAAGAGAGGTGAGGGGAAGGAGGAAATAAAGAAATCCTTAGTTTTGTAGGTGATTCCGCTGTCTCTACGTACGGACCAGGCCGACTCTGGCCTATATGCCTCAGGTATGATCCTCCCGTTGCACCTTCATCCACTGCCAGTCAGGAGGTGGCACAGAAGCCAGAAGTAATTCAACTTTTACATCTGCCAAAATAGGCGTTAAAAAAAAGGTACACATCATTTCCAGGCACGGTAGGAGAATGCGTTGAAAGCATATACTACAGAGAGGACTAGTTTAGTAGGGAATCAGGTAACTAGATCATTTGGTCAAGGGCATGGGAGAGTACCACATTGCACGGGTAGAGAGGCTGAATTGGGATTGGAGCACATACAATTTTGTGGCATACTTTGGATTCTCCATCCAAGCAGAGAGCAACCATTCAGCTGTTTCAGAGATCCAGCACAGCTGCAGAGAATACCAAAAAGCTACTTTATATATAAAAACTGATGACTGTCACTGCTGTATAATAACATAAGGAAATTATATTAAAAAAAAAGGGTAAGCTAGAAATGGCTGTAATATCAGAAGAGAAGGCAGAAACTTTTATCCTATATCTCACTAGAGGAGATACTGGAACTAAAGGATGCAGAAGAGGAGCCAGGGGAACAACTGAACTCCAAACCAGTGAAACAACCACGATCCCAACCTCACTACATCAGGCACAAGCTGTGGGTAGCACTTGGGAATCACAGAACACAGTTTAGCACTACTCGGCCACAGGAACAGCTCGGCTGCAAAACATCGTGCTAAATCCTAAACCTAACATTTCTTTCTGCTCAAACACTTTGGAAATTCAATGGCAGATATTAAGGCAGGGTTAAAATTATCTGAAGGTATGTCTTTCCAGGAAAATGAGTTTAGCAAACTTAAAAAAACCTTTCCATAATCATGCAACCGTCATATGCAAACTTTATTCCTTTCTCCAAGTAACATCCTAACAGAGAGTTAGGACCCCTAAGTTCTTTGACAGGCAAACACAGTCTACACTATAGTCAAAACAGAGGCCTGCAACACCTATAAATTATAAATGTACTAAGCGTGATATAATTAATACTAGATTGTTGAATATAAGCTACAAAACTATTGTTTACCAACAGTGGTATGCAAGTATTCTGTAGCATTATGATGGCATAGCCAGACATAACATATAAGCATTTTACCTAAGTATGTGAATGCCAAAGGGGCAAACAGTGATGGGCACAGCTGGACCCAGGAGTTAGCCAGACAACAAGAAGCTGCCAGACAGAGGACACGATTAAGTACAAGAGACTGCAAACAGGAATACACAATAAGCATCACTGTCAAATCAACAGAAAACAAGCAATATCAAGTCCATAGGAACCCCATGTCCCTCGGGGATGGGGGGCAATAGCATCAAAGCATCAGGCACTAGCAAGGAAAACTGGAGAAGAAAGAAGATGAGCCCACTTCAGTTCAGACTTCTCCTGTCAAAGAGCTCTCAAGCCTGGTCAGCACTGACACTGCGACTCAGGACTACCAAGGACCGCAGCTATCGGTTATCTCCATAACCCAGCCACAGAAGGCAGCCCATTAGATCTCTGAAGGTCCCCACAGATGCCTCTCCTTGATCAACCACAGAGAGGTCAGACAAAGGAGCTCATTTTCCTGCCCTATAGAGGGCCATGTCCTTCCTAGAGCACTTCTTACTACTATCACAGCCTGCTAAGCTGCTCCCAGGAGTCCTCCAGGAATCCAGACAGCTATCATCAGCACCGGGAATGCATCCGGAATGCATGCAGAAAACGTCCATCAGCTACCGTCAAAACCAGGGCATAAAGTTAAGGCTGACTGAGCAGGTCTCTCATCTTTCTCCTTCCTCAGAAGTTCAGATTTCACTGAAATTTAACAGGCTGGTAAGGCCTAGGATATTAACTCAGCCTGGTGTTAGAATTCGCCAGGTATATGAGTGCTACAATAAATACCAAAGTTGTAACTTTTCAGGGGAAGACTGGGCCATAGGGAATGATCATGAAAGACAACATTGACCAAGTGGAAAATGTTAGCAGAAGTGCCATACCACAGATACCCTTCCTAGACTAATGCACCAAAGAAATTCAATTCAAAAGAGGGCATTATCAAAAGTATTCTATCATCAAAAAAAAAAAACCCCAAAAATTTAAAAGTTGAAATACAAGTCAGGTAAACATTGCAAGACATTAAAAACAGTGCACGTAAAAGTTTCTTTATGGGTAATTCTGACTGAAATAATGAGTCATCGCCCACAATGAGTACATGTATTCTATATTATGTATGACAGAATTTAAAATATCTGAAACAACTCATTTCAAGGGGTGTTAAGCTATTCCATTAGTACTGAAAGTTATTAGTCCATTTCGTATAAATGACGCTTGGAGATCTGAGCAAATTTGACAGCATACAGTCCAGAACAATAACCACCGGCTATTGCTTTTGGATGATTTAAACACAGGCCTGGCCAAATGATTTCATAGAGCAAACAATTTCCTTCACATCTCTCCTTGAAAAATGCAATGCATTTATTTTTAATTTTATTAAAAAAAATAATCTCTGGACTAACCAAAAGAAGGAACTTTAAGTTTGGAAAATGTTTATAGGGCAGATGTTGCTGCCTGGAACAACCTTTGAGTCCTTGAAGAAGTAAAAGTCACTGAGTAAATTTAATGTTTCTCTCCTCTACTCAGCTTGAAGAATGAATCATTCCTGATGTGTCAGAAAATACCAGAACACAACAGACTTTTTCTAAAAATAAATTGGCTCTTTCTAAGGGCCAAAGACATCTGTAGATAAGTCTGAAGAACTATGCAGTTTGCCATCAATCTGTGAATCAGTAATTAAATCTCAGGTTAATAGCATGCGACTAACAGATGCTTTCTGTAGGCAGTTTAACGGCTTGAAATGTTGTATATGTATAACACCAATGCAATAAACAATGGAAATGCCAAGACACAAATTAGCTCTTTCCTAAAGGCCAATTTAAAAAACAAAACCCAAAAAACAGCCTGTTCTTTCAGCATTTTTTTTTTTCCTGGAGAGGATTTGAAACAGGAGCAAGGAAACACACTGTAAAAGGTAATTTTATCTCAGAAAACCTTCATTTTTCAACGTTTGACTGAAGATTAAAGTCTTTCATCAGCTTGAAGAACTATCTACGCTAAAGCTTTCAACATAATAATCCAGGGGAAAGGGGAGCAACAGGAAATGTTACCGAAAGCAAGGTTTGTTGCTTACTATGTGCATTTTAAATATGGACAGATTAAACAACTGACTTCTAACTGAAGTTAGGAAGCAAAGGTAAGCTGAAAAAAATATAATGGATTTGTGATCAATCTGATAAAAAAAAACCCCAACCAGAAACTACAAAAAATTCTCTGACATTATTAAGTCTCTTATTCTAAACAGCCAATAACATTTAAGTCAAGCAACCCACTTGATCTACTGCTCTGTTTGCAAGTGGTATGTTTATTCACCCACAACACAGAGCTCTGCAAAATAAAAATAATTGCAGGAAGAAGTCCCAGTCATTATTTGATGGGCTCTCCAATTTTCCAGCAGTAATGAAGAGGAGTTCAACTAACAGAAATGTCACAACATTAAACAGCAATATTCGAATGCCAAAGCATAATAGGTAGTCAGCACATAAATGATAAAAGGTCGTATGTACTCTCTTCCCTACCGCAATAGTTTAAATAAAATAAAATATCCACAAAGTATAGGAGTACTGGCGTGTAATCCTCTGTGGGGGAAAAAGGCAAAAAGCTATGAGCTGTTAGAACTTGGCACTGATTGAGTGAGCGAACATAGTGAAGATAATGCATACATCAACAGCTAACAGCTCTTTTGCAAAGCCAGCTATAAGAATTTCTATCATTATTCAAGAACTATTTTTGCTCTTTCCATCTTCAAATGGGGAGAAAGGAAAGAAATTTGGTAACTAACCTCATGCAACTTAGAAATGCTGATTTGTAACTCTGTGTATAACTGACCTAAAGCCTACATTCAGTTAGACACACTGAAGCGACCACCCCATATATTGCACTAGAGTGTCTTTGCTCAGCTCCAGAAGAGTCCTGAAATGCCTTTGCTCAAGCTACGTAGAAAGATACATCATAGGGAACGGAGGAGCTGATGGAAACCAAGCCTTTTCCCAGTTTTTACTACAGAAGGGAGATGAGAATATTAAACACCACTGAGAAAAATGAACAAACCCATGACTCAAAATCACAACGAAATAAAAACATGCTGAGTGTAGGTCATGCAGGCTCTGTCAGCCCTGGTGTGGGGCAGGGCAGAGAGGTAAGAGTTTGACATTCGGCAGAAGCAAGAAGTGTCTGGGAGCTCAGAAAGGACTGGCCAAACCCACAAAGGGCTGCGGGAGTGGACATTTTCATGTCCTCTGAGGCTCAGGGCTCTCTCTGGAAATAGTGACGTGCATTTAAATAAACCCACAAGTTCTTACTGTAAGCATCCTGAAACATTCTTGAGGCAAACTCACAATCCACCGGGGAAATACAGCTTTGCTGCCAGGAGCAGGGCAGGTGGGTCACACTGCACCAGCACCCAGCACTGGCACAAGGCAGGACCTGGGCCAGGACCAGGGCACGGCTGACCCTCCAGAATCAGACAGGCTTTAGTGCTGAGATCAGAACAACCAGCACTTGACAGAGGATTCAGGACAGGGAGCTCAGCCAGGATTATGGCATGTAAGTAACTAAGTGTAAAATAAATAACAAAGGCATCCCCACCTGTGGCAGAAATGGGATCTGGTACAAATGGCAAACAATCCTGGCAATTTGGAACATTTACAGTAGGAACACTGCTAAAGCGGCGTATCCATTTCTCTACTCACATACACATTTCTTGAAATCCTTTCACTGTTTCTTTGGCAGTAGTATAAAAGCAATTAGTTCAGCATATCTAAGCAGGACAGCATAAGAAACACCTCATCGCAAGCAACTGCACTTTTATTACTGAGTCAAAAATATCAAAAGATACAACTTTTTGTTGAAGAACTTCTTAAGGCTTTATCATTATTCTATTATCATGGACACTTCCTCAAGAAAGTAACTCAGAAAAAATACACAACATTCCTGTAAATCTAGCATTTTTGATAAGTCACATGTACAAAAATTAGGAATTCTGTCTCCCTGGTTTATGCTTTGTTAATACTACGTTAAATTCCTGTAATACACACTGTGAATAAAGACTTGTTACTTACCTATCATATACATTGAGTAGCCAGTTAAGACACATGTCTACACAGAGAGGAACATTCACCATATCTTTGTGTTTCTCTTCAAGTCCGCTGTAGATGGTGGTGAGACAGCTGATCACATCCTGGACACCGATCAGCTGGTCATTTTGACTCAACTTGTGCTGTTTGAAAACTTCACTGGTTGTGTTCAGGTCCAATAGGTCCACTAACACCAGGCGATTTAAAAAAATAAAAAAGAAAGGAAAAAAAAGGTGTGAATATAGATGCCCGAGCATAGCAGTCACAATACTTGTTCATGTGCATACTGTAGCAAACACTGCAGACAACTAGCCAAGAAGTAGCTTTCATTTAGTAACGTTATAGTGAAAAACTGTTTTCTGTGAGAAGTCAACAGCATTTTGGTACTACATATTTAAAAAACCAGAATCAAGACCAGCACCATAATGACACTGCACAGCTCAGAACAACACGTAAAACGCCGCTGAAGTAGTTCAGATGTACGCACACTGCGAGTCCACTCAGTTTAGAGGACTCTTCACATTTACAATAAGGCAGAATCCTATTAAATCCTATCACTTTTGATTAAATGTAAAGCAAAGCACATTCTCAGATTACAATATTCTCTTAAATGCAGTATGAATGTACTGAGGCCTGATTAACTGAACAGCAGTTGCTAAATTAGGGCTTAAAAGAAAGAAGGGAGAGGGACACAGTGAAATTATTTATTGTAGTTTTCCAGAACACTAAATGTTATGCTTTCAAGAAAAATATTTTGATCTCCTTTGTTACAAGATTCTTTCTATAAGCAGTTAGTGATTGTATGGATATCCTACAGGTAAAAAGGGTTTTGCTCCCAAAACCCACACAAATGCGATTGTTAAAATCTGTGTTTTCCATGGTGAAAATAAAAAGCTGTCAATGAGCGTTTCTAATTTCTTTTGTAAAACAAAGTGAAAAAGAGAAATCTTATTTTGGTATAAAAGAAGGAAGAATAATGTAAGTCAAAAGGTGGTATAATCCTCAGTGACTTTTTTTTTTTACAGAGGCAAGGGCTTTAGCAAAGAAACCCCAGTTGCAATATATTAGTATGCTTGCTACAGTGTATACAACATGAGGTTGAAGTATATTCCCAGTTCATACAGAGCTGTTTCTGGAGAGCCAGTAACACATTTACACTGTAAGTGTCATCTCTCAAAGGAAATGAAACACGCTAATCTCAGATGTGGTGTAAATTGCTCCGCACCAATAAAGTTAAATAAGGACCCCAGCAGAGCAGTCTGTCCAAACCCAGTAAGTTTGGCTGGAAAATAAGTACAGCAGGAAAAAGCAGGAGCAAGACAACACTAACCACTGTGAGCAATTCTGCCAAGAACTCGGTGACCATCTACCAAAAGATCAGGCTATGGGCCAAAAGAAGGTTACATCCCAATCTGCTTCCCCCAATCTACCCTTCCTTACATCACCGTACAATGAGAAACAGAACCTCACAGCCCTTGCTTTGCTTCTCCCTCACTATTCTAACTTTACAGCATAGACTTGCAGGAGCTTTACATTTATTTGCTTGCTTTTGTTCTTTTTTTTTTTTTTTTTTTAAAGCCCATCTCTTAGGCTTGCAAACAAATGCCAGCCACGTATTTACCAAACCGGCAGACTGCTAATTGCAGCAAAACACCTTGCCACTAGTTTGACTTGAGATAGCCAAAGTATTTGGCAGTACACTGGAGCATAATCTTCTACAGTAGCTGGAAAATATGTAATACCCTGGAAATGGCTCACATGCATATTTAAAAACAAAACAAAATCAAACTCCTCCCATGTCACAATACAACACAGACTATTTTTTGGAGGGATGGAGGGAGGGGAGCGAAGCCAAGTGCAAAACTGTAACATGCTATCCAATCACCTAAATATTGCACTCAGGAGAGATGGCCACTTTTCATGCTTTTCTTTCATGACCTACAGGGGGGAAAAAAACCCCCAAACTCAAAATGACTGCAATCAGTATGCTGTTTTGTTTTTTGGGTTTTTGTTTGTTTTTTTTTTCCCTCCTAAACTGTTTCTGTAAGGTACTTAAAGGTTGGCTAAAAGCAGGTAAGCAGCTTCCTTAAACAGACTGACAGCACCCAAAAAGCCATTGAAAACTTGGAATGCTTTGAAATGCCAGAAAGTTGCAGCCTTTGGCCTTGGCTTAACGTAATCATCCTTGCACTGAAAATGGCAACTCAACAGACACTGGAGTAAGCCTGCTACCTGCACGTCTCGCTCAGCTGGCATTAAGATCTCATATTCACGTTTCTGCCAAAGAATTCTAGAGGGAAGCGGGAGAGGTACGTAAAAGAAAACTCTGCTGCTGTACTAATGCAAATTAAGCAAAACTTACACGTGTGGATGGCACTATTTGTGGAGAATAACCAGAGGAAATTACTTCCAGCCCTGCTTGCTTCAGCACTCAGCTGGCTGAACGACCCCTAGGTACAGGCAGCTCTCCTCTCATGGTAAGGTCGAGCAGTGCCACTGGATTGGGCTGATGTAAACAGGAATTATTTTCTCATTACATTTCCATTTCTGAAAGTTTTTAAATAAACTGTGTTTATGCAGATGGGGGAAAGCTAACCTGAGACTCGCCTGCCATTGCTGGCCTGAAGCCTCCCGTACACAGCTTTTAGTGCATTTTTGCAGTACCATTCTGCATCTGCTCAAATGTGCTGAACGACCAACCCTGCTGTGAACCAACAAATGGACACAAGGGTCATTTCTCTCCTTTCTGCAGCGAGGAGACCTTCCCAAAGGAAAACTATAAACAGAAACCATGTCATTCAGCATGGTTCAAGCAGATGTGAGTGACTGACTCAGGAGCAAGTAATGACATGCAGCTGCTAATGGCATATCTGATGCTGCTGTAACCCCACAGAAAATAGGCAGGCATTGCTATGGAGCTTTTATATTACAAAGACCTTGGGAATGATAGCAGTTCCTGCAAAAGACTCTCACTTTTAGTCCGGTGTGCCTTAACGTTCCTTCCTTAGCTTTGTGTGGCTGACATTCCTATTAGCATTCTTAAATTTTACATCACTTAGAGGAGCTCAGAGACAGAATTCTGAATATACATGGTGGTTTTGTTCCCTTTTTCCCTTCCAGTACTACACTTCGGTATCTGGGGCAATATTATTTCTTGAAAACAAGCTAAAGTATACTGCACAAGAATAAAATATAGTCAGGGCCTGGTGCTGCATAGCTGCCGAGTACAACTGCAACACAGGATACTCTCTCTGGCCCCATTCTTCTTCTGCTACAGTGGGAAAGTGCTCTCAGTACATCTGCCCTGCATAATTTGAGACAGAGAAGCTAAGAATTTGTTCTACCTGCAACCTTTCTCAGCTTCCTGCAAAATAAATAGACGTAGGTATATACACGCGTATTAGTCTCTGCAGGAATCTACCTTTCAAGAAACAGAACAGGATGAAACACAACTCTACTTTCCTGCTTCTAAAGGAGGGCGGGGGGAGTGGGAGGGAATAACTTCCCTAGAACCACGGGGTTTTGACACTTAATGAAACCAAAGACTCAGAAGAGAGATTTGGCATCAGCAAGTTTTCCAAAGTACAATTCTCCAATCACACACTCCTGAACCTGCCTGTATAGCACTAACACCGCATTACCAGTCCTCAACGCGACGTCAAAATTTGTCAGGTACAAGTGGGACTGTGCCTCCTGCTCCAGTTCTGCCTTGGAGTCCTCACCAGAAAGGCCTCTGCAGTTGTACACACACTGCAGCTGTGACACCAGTTGGTCACGTTTTACAGTTCACAATTACCTCATTTCCTAGTGATTTGGTTTGACATTTTCTTTGCCTTTCCGAAGCATGCTGCATCTGAACACCTTTAAAAACCACCCACAGTTAAAATTACAGGAAATACAATGGAAGACTAAAGTAACTCAGACCAGAGAATGGGCACAGAAGATGACTCTTTTCCTACCTTAAAAGAAAACCAACAAATAAAAGTCAAGAAAAGAATTCTAACCACTCTCCCCTCCCTCAGAGAGGAGGTGCTAGCACACGTTGTGTTTTGGCTATCTCAGAAGCCATTCATGGGACAGAATCCAGCTGAGAATCATCACAGTCAAAGGGAATTTGATCTGTTCCCTGGCAAGAAATAATCAGCTAAGTAAACAATGACAAAAGGAATGACACTAATTATATTTTTGGAGGTGATCTTAAAATTGTACCAGATCATAACGAGTTCCTGTTCAGAGACAGAAAATTCTTGCAGCATTTAGCATTGTGCATAATCTGCAATGTCTTTCTTAAAAACCCACAATGTCGTGTTCTCACAAATTACACCAAGCTCTGGTCAAATATGTGAGCGTAATAAAGACCAAGATTTTTTTGGCTGTTGTCTACTCCCATGAGGCAGAGAGATGAAACAAGCAAACAGCTTCATAAATAATGAGGCAGACTGGATCTGTAGAAACGAGTTTTACTCCTGGTTCCTTCAAACTGGAATATTCTCTTTTTACTACTTTCCTCTGTCCTCCTTCCCCTGAAAACTGGAGACAATACTCACTTTGATAGGAGGGCACTTTTGAAATCTGAGTGAGAGCAGCTAACCATTGTAGTTATTACAGAAATTGATATATTTCGCAGTAAAACCAAGAGCAGGAAGTATGATCCTCCTCAAAGCTTATTAGAAATAACCAAAGCGAAGTTTGTTCTATACAGGTCACTAGACCATCTGTATGCCTGTCAGAAATAGGCAGCATGATTAGCATCCATCACGTGCAGTTTGTTTTTTCACCCTTCCCTGGGAAGCAGCACGCACAAGGAGAATTTTACTTTGCTTTCTGATTTCTTGCTTTGCTTCTGTTTTTTAGGTACATGTTGACGCATACTTTATACCCTGTGCACTGATAGGCAGAAAGCTCATAATGCTCTTTAGTCTTGCTGGGAGATGAAACTATAGTTTCAGGTGGGACTGTATCTCTTGCACAGAGAAGCTCTAGGCTACGCCAAAGAAATAGTGTTTTTCTTTCAAAGGACAGGTTCTGTTTTTCCCAAATGTAAGACCTTGAACTTGATTTGAAATCCTATGAGAAGCCAGCACAGCATATGAAGAAGTGGCAAGAGGTACTGGAGAGGTACTCCACATCTGTGCCGTTGCATAAATGCGCTCTAGCTTTCCGGAGTAGCTAGCTACCATCTCAGGCACAGCTTCATTTGGTATAACGTATATCTGAAGTCCAGCTAAGAAGCTACTTCCAAGATCAGACTGCTGCCTTCTAGGCTGGAAGGAAAACTGATGACCTGGAGGGTGGGACGGGACCCCTCGTTGTGCAACTCCTTCCTTGCTTGCATCTTTAGGATGACTTTGCCCTTCTTGTGTTCCCACTCAAACTGCAGTACTGAACACCCTTCAGTGCTGAAAAGTCCTTCCACAGCAAGGACTCCTGAATTTAAACAAGAAAATTTGGTAGTGTTGTACAACATTTTATACCAGCTGTTGCCAAGACCCTTTGAAAGGTCTGAAATCTGTGACTTTCACACTCATACACAACTCGCATCTCCTTCCAAAACTATCCATTTTCTATTTTTTTTCCTACTTCACCCAGTTTTCTTTCCAATAGATGAGTGTTTTTTCCATTCACAGTCCTAATAATTTTTAAGATTCATATTCTCATCATCTCTACAACAGAATTTTTTGTACTCCTTTCTTTTTATACAACTTAATCTCTCCAGTTCTATGTTTCAGCTAGTTTTCTTCCACACATCCTCTCTTCTCTGCCTTCTCACAAAATCTCACTTCCTTCTAAGCTTTTTGTCCTTTCAGTTATCTTGATTATCTTCATGTCTTGCCTCTCTCTATAATGCAAACCATTTCTGGACTACGTCAAATTATTAGTTCAATCACATTTCTCTAAAACAAATATTGAGCAGTTACAAGCTAGCTCAGCTCCCCCAAGAAAGTACCATCTTTCTTTTTCTCATCCTGATTCTCAAGGAAATGCAGAAATACCAGTGGCAGGATGACTCCAAAGAGCACTCCGAGCTTGCTTTGCACAGGAGGCTCAGGCAAGAGCCCAGAACCCCAGCGTGGTACTTGCTGTGTGACTCAGAGAAGTGCCAAGTCCAGAGGCCAGGACAAGACCTCCTGATAACATCCCTTCTGCTAAACTTTGAACGTGGCAGTCATGTAACTTGCTGCTGTATTAAACCATAATTGTGATATACTGTGAATGCTTTTTTAAATACCTAGCAAATATAGAACAGAAAACTGGAGACACAAACATGAATCTTGGAAATGAAGTAGTTTAGACAGCTAAGCCTACTCAGTAGACACTTATCCTTTCCTAAAAAAAATCTATGTGCTCTTCAGAGTGGACTGTGGCTGAATTACTAGATCGCTTCAGAACAGGGACAAATGCCAACACAGGTCTGGGCAGAATATCCAATGTGCATATTAAATCCACTGGTTATTTCCTATCTAAATTTAAGATCCTTCTCCACATCCCCAATATATATATACACACATACTATTATTGCTAATAATAGTAGTTTGGTTTGTCCTAGTGGCTTTTTGTGATTAAAACATACAGAAATACTACCTACCTATAACCAATTATACAGATGTGTATTCTTTCCTCTCACACTCTGAGTGGCCTGAACTCCTCTTTAACTGGAATTCACACAGCAAGATATTCTCCCCGAGAGGAAGGAATATTTTCAAAGTTACATCTAGCAGCAGTAAACACTTGCAAAAAATGGAATGGAACTCTCTAAAGTATAATAAAATACCTGAGTTTATGTCAACGGTCAGGATTTTATCTCACATCATTTCACACCAGCTTGCATCAAGAACAGTATACAATAGTCAAGAGGTCCAATATTTATTTTCCTATCACTTCTCAAAGTATTCTTAGTGGGCATACCTTTTCAACTTACCTGCTGCATCCCTTTTTCCATTAATTGATTTTATTTATTTGCAATAATGACACCCGCTATTGGCAATTCTTCCTGCCATTTTGTTGGCTGTCAATCTATCAAGGATGTATCTAGTCCCTTGTTAAAGCTGTTAGACCTAAGCCAAGACTCCCTTCCCCAAGTACTGCAGAGAAACAATTTGTCTCAAAGGCCAAACTCACAGCACAGCGCTTTCTGTAGTCTTCGGATTTTGATGGCTGTACGGTAGGCAGAGAAGCGTACGTTGTTCAAGTCAGCTGAAACAGTAGAACAGAAATATGAGCAGCCCTAAAAATAGAGTCCAAAGTTTCCTTTACATATAAATTTTCACATTTTGGAAGAAGGCTGATATTCATTCTCTTCTCTGCAACGAATGAACAGGATATATCAGAACAAACATAACAAACTGAGAAGCTGGGACCTCAGTCCAATGCACCTGCAGGGAAAACCTCCCAACTCTGACAGTCCAGGGCCTTCAGAGATTGGCACAGGTAATACCTATACATATAATAGAGCTTTACATACATATTATACAGTGTTAAGTAGCTTCCAGAGAAGTGCTCAAATACATAAGTTTCTCAAATAATTTACAACTCCATCAGACAATGTATAGGAAACAGAGGGCAGCAAAGGTCACGGCAAGAGAGAAAAAATGGCTTTTAAAGCTGTAATTTCAAAAGCCTTGACATTGTAAACAGTGCTTTGGAAAGGGACAGTCAGATAGCCATAAGCTCTATTTTAGAAACAGATAGGTATAGTAATATTTTTCCTCACTTAACAGTATTTTACCCTTTCGCTCCTTAGAAAGGGAGATTTCACAGTAAGTGTAGATGTTGGCAAGGCATGTTGAACAAGCTGTACCACAATATGGTCTAGCCTTTTCTGAAAGTGTAGCTACTCTGATTTATCACAAAAATCAGCTCCCTGCAGACCAGCATCCTGCTTTAAACACGCAGACAGCCTGCATCATCGGACAATTCCCCACGGATTTAAAAGAAATGAACAAGACACTGCATTAAAGCACAGAGTCAGAGCATATTGTGCAGAATTAATATTACTGAATGGCAGCGCACACGACGTGTGGATTGCAGCAGGTTTCACGCACAGTGTGTCTCATCGCAAAGTGGGAAATGCTCTGTTACACACAGTTCATGGCAACCCGGCTGTGGTCAGCATACAAACGCAAATTTTACTCACGGAATGAACATCACATAATGGTTTATTTTAAGAAATGCACTCACCTAAGGACTGGAAGAGATCAGTCATTTTAGGATGATCCCAACAGGTTGTCTGTGTCTCATGACTATAAAGGAACGAGGTAATCAATGTTTCAGACAACACACATACACACTTCCAGAAGACCAAAGATACTCTGATTTTCTGTGTTTAAGTGGCAAGAAATCCCTCATCTCTTTAATTAAAATGCATGATCTGTGCCACTTAGCTCCTTCATTTTTTAAATCACAACGCTAGACAGACAACAGGCTGCCCATATTAAACAATATTTACTTTTGATTCTAAGTATGAACTCTGATCCTGCAGCTAAGAGGCACACTAATAAGGTAAAAATGCAAAATTTCCTGCTGCTGTAGCACAATAAAAATATTTGTAAAAACACTTTAAAAATAAAAAGAAGTGAGGTTTTATTTCAAACTTCATTGCATATCTGAACACATATCAGAACACATACACCGATTTTAAGCTTTACCTGTAACACGTTTAATGGAAAGTCTGATCGCTGTTCACACACCTGATCAACAGGTATCTTCATTCAGGGGGTGCGTTCTACGCTAGCGCTCACAGAACCCAGAGTCAAAAGGCAGCATCGCTTAACCTGCTGTTTAGCACTACTGCTTCAATGCACCAAGGTTTCAATTATGTAGCCATTGGGGTCAAACCATGTATTACGTCAGGTCTACCGGACTCTCCAATTCTCTTCTACAAGACACGTTTTACTTGTATTTATTAATATTCATTGCTGGAATGATTGCACATTCTTGCCTCACAAAGTATTTGCATTTGAGTTAGATCAGTAAGAAAATTAATTAGAGAAGTTGTATTAAAAAGATCATAGTATTCCCTTTAAAAGTTAATAATGAAAATGAAATGATGCTAAGTTAGCAAATCTAACAGTAATGAACAGAGAATACCACTTATTTCACCTTTGTTTCTATTTAAAAATTGTTAATGTGCACACTTCCCCCCCCCGCCCCCCCCATACAGGTATACTTGATTGTAAATGATGACTTGAAATGGCACTTTGCCATTAAATGTAGGGGACTGTATCTTCAGTTGGTATATATAAATGACTGTACCCCAGTGGGTACACAATAATCTATCATTGCTGATTTTTTTTTTTTTTTTTTTTAAATTGAGGAACTACCCAAGAATTAATCATTTTATGCCAGGTGGTACAAAAAAAAAAAAGGGGTAGAAGGTCCCTGGCTCCAAAGAGCTGCAGAAACAGGACAGGTACCACAAAGGGGAGGCAGGCTCCAAAGTGCTGAGGTCCCTTCTTTACATTACCCTTCAAGACACACTAGTGGCAAGTGCATGCACTGGGTCTCTGCAAGGGGATATGATCCCCACTTTCCATTCCATACATCAGTGTGACCTTTCCAGCTTTGAGTTTGGTCGAGGTCTCCACAGTCAGCTTCTCCCTGTCATTAGGCTTAACTCTCTGCCATGGGTCTCGTTTGTATACCTAGCACCATCACAACTCTGTGAGGTCTTTCTCATGGAAGGTCATAGACATGAAATGTATTTCCTACTAATACAGTAGGTATAAATCTTCTTTTCCCTCTTTGTGATTATTCCCTAGTAGATGACTGAAAGGAGAGAGAAGCCCTGCATATGATTACATTTAAACAAGAGAGATTTATACAACGTGCAATCAAAACAGCATCTTCTGTTAGACCTTGGTTGAGTCTGAAATACTATACTAACCCCTCCCCAATTCAGAACAACACTGAAGTACATCTTTACATCTGAAGACAACTTTTATTTGGTTTCAGTTTGACAATAGTATCACATGAACTGCATTCACGTTTCAAATTCCAAATGAGACGGGCGAAGGCTCTGATATGCTGAATTCCCAAGCTAAGGCATATCAGTATCTAAACCAGTGGTTCTGCAGTTTCTAGAAAGCCACTTTTAAAACAGCACTATGTTTATCCTTGTCCAGAAAAGTAATTTCAAAAACAAGTAGCTTGACAATTATTTCCCTGGACGGGGCACATCAATAAATCATCATGAAGCCAACAACAACAACAAAGGATGTATCTGGGTTTGGTGCTGTGCCAAGGTAAAGGCAACTGACTGTCCAGCATTCTCAAAAAAGCTGGTATAAAAAAACCTGCAGTATATTAGAAAGAAGAGGAACATACACAGCTTCAGTAAATAGGAACAGAGAATATAATATAATGGTTCATACTGATCAACTTATTTAATAACCTCAAAATTAGTCCTGAGGCTGCTAAATATCTGCACTATCATGTTAAGCGGGATGTCATCATTGTCATGTTGACCATCTAGAATTGATTTCTGTTGACAAAACCCAATGCAACTGCACATAGAAATGTATCTAATACGTGATCAGTTAAACAATGCTTGTTATAAGGAAATTGCTTCACCTCAACTTCCCTGACCAAGAACATTCCCCCCCCCAAAAAAAAATAATCCTCAAACACACACTAAACAGAAAAAAAAGACCAAGACTGGTGATTTTACTGATAGTAAAACATCATAAGTGAAAAGGATTTTCTGAGAAGACTCTTAACTAAAACACCCTCAAACTTGTATGTTAAAAGTAAAGGTAGGTGGCAGTACTATGACAGAAACTTTAAATATATGGCATATATAAAAATACATTTTACACTATTTTAAATGCTGAAATATTAGTGCAAACATTGTACGTAATCAACATGCAATTTAGCTGAGTCAAATCCTGTTTACTGTCTTAAACTATTGTGTCAAAATTAGCCATGATAGTAAGAATTTTGCTGAATCACAACCTCTGCTTCTCAGTTCACTATTTTCTGAAATTAAAAAATGTTTCCATGAAGAAATCTATTTCCTACTTGTGAGATGCTCCAAGAATCTCACCTGGGAAGTGCAGCAAAAATACAAAGTTTTATTAGCAGTAAATGCCTTTCTACACAACAATGGATCAATAGCAGAAGTTGATTTGAAATTCTTCTTTTCTTGCAATAAATTGTTAAATTTTGCTAGGTCCAACGACCTTTTTTTTTTTTAGTTAAAAAAAAAAAGAAAAAAATAAATACTTGGATGAATCCTTGCTTTCCCCCACCTCCAGAAATATACTGATATACTCCAGTATGCATCTGTAATGCTTAATCAGGATGTGGGCAGATTTAATTGCAATTTAGATGCCAGGTTCTAAGTGATTTATAACCCACATGCAATGAATAAGAGCCGATATTACCAAACTTTTTCCTTAAATCAAGTTTCCAAGATTTAAGAACAAACAACAGTTTCATTATTGAAGCTGTACGATTTAAGTACATAGTTTCAGTAGTTTTATCTGAAAGACTAAAAACTACTTTAATCTTGACAACATGCTGTGCAAAAATAATATTACTTTTTCTATTTTGTGTGTGCTTAACACAAAGCAGAAAAAAGTGGAGATATCCAAAATCTCTGTATCCTGCACTATCATTTTTTCTCCATTTAATGTAGTAAATACCTGAACAGCTAGATCTTCTCTTTACAGTAAAACATTAAATTTATACATAAATAAAATAACAACCAGAAAATATTTTTTATGTTTCTATTTTTCTTTGAAAGAGAAATAAATTTGTGCCAGACTGTGTATAGACTAATGGGTTTTAAAAAACTCATCGCACTGTTCTTTTCTATGCCACACAGATTACGTGAGAAAGAAGGCCCAGTGAACATCATTTGGTGGAACCAAAGAAAGGCAAGAGGGAACCCCTTCACCCAGGCTCGTCCATAATTACCTCCAAGTCAGTACTACCCGACAGCTGTTAAATGACTACGCAAGGTGAACACAATTGTGCCAGCCTCATCCCAAAACACCTAGCAAGAAACCATCCCTAACAGCTGAGCAATCCCACACACGGATCGAGCGGAGAAGAGGCATGGGCTCAGAGAGAGTGGACCACCAGCCCAAGAGTTCAGGTCAAGGGAGGCAACAACTCCACGGCCACTGGCAGGCTGCTACCACCACCGAATATATTCTATGGATAGGCTTCATTTAAGACAGAAGACACCAAAGCCAGGCTACTCTGGACAGAACTGAAGAAAAAGTGTGATTGTGAACCTAAAATGAGCTATAAAAAAACTGGGGGAGAGGGGAGGAATCAGTCTCAGCAGTGACATTTCCTAATGCAAAGTTTTATTTGATAACAATTTCATAACATGCAGGGACTTTTATGCGGACACAAATTGATTTTCACAGGAAGAAAAAAATGGGTGTGCAGATAACCTTCCTATGCTACAAATAAAACTGTCAGAGAAAGGAGTCATTTTATTAGGCGTTCCAAAGGGGAGGCAGGCAAGACGAAGTGCTTTCTGGTGATTTGGTTTGTAAAGCAGCCCTTTGAATTAAGATCCATCTTTCTCTGCTGTAGCTACAGTAGCTTTTGTGTTCCTGATGCAAGACTAACACGAGCGGATCAAGCACTGAGAAATGTGCTCAGAAACTTCATAGTACTGGACGGTCTGCAACAGATGAGACAGACTTGATGAAACTGGGGGAGATCTTTCTGATTGGGATCTCATAGCTCCTTTTTATGCAAGTTCATGACATAGCAACCTATTCTAAAATACACACCGCATTAGTTACAATTGCCTGGCAGTTATTGCCCAGAGAGTAAGAGCAGACTTGGATGTTCCCTTGCTTCTCTGATACCTTGCTCAATAAACACAAATAACATCCAAGACATCAGACCTACAAGAACAAGGAAATTGATAAACAAAAGATTACACACCTTCTTTGTATGTATTTGACAAGTATATGTGAAAGATGTCATCCTTAGAGCAAAGGACCAGAAATTGCTAAATTGCTAATTACTGGAGTTGCTAAAACAAGGTAAGCAACTAAAGCAGTACGCAATTCACTCACAGAAGTGCTCCAACCATTTTCTGGAGATTTCCAGGCAAAATGATTTTACTACATCACAAAGAGAGCTCCAACTTGATTCCTCTGGAGGTCGAAACTTGTAGTAAATCCCAGAAGGCAATTAGGTAGAATTGGATGGATTGTTTTTACCACAAAGAGACAACAGGAAGTCTTCAGATAATTCAGCCCTGCTAGTGACT